ACACCAGAGGGTTGTGCAGCCATCCAGAGATCCTGACAGGCTGGAGAAGTGTGCTGGCAAAAGCATCAACAAGTTCAACAGGGAAGAGTGCAGAGTCCTGCATATAGGGAAGAAAAACTCCAGGCCCCAATACATGCAGAGGACCAGCAAGTCCAGAAAAGGACCTGAGGATGCTGGCAAACCCCATACAGAAATTGAACCAGCAATGCGCTCTTTCAGCAAAAATGGACAATGGTGTCATGTGGTGCACCAAGAAGTAATGCCACCAGGTCAAAGCAGGTGATCCTTCCCCTCTGCTCTGTTTTAGTGTTCAGGATTACATCCCCCAGTTCAAGACAGACATTGTGGTACTGGAGGGAGAGTTTAGCAAAGAGCCACAAAGACAATGAAGAGACAGTAGTGTCTCTCTTGTGAGGAAAGACTGAGAAAGTTTGGACTGTTCAGCTTAGAGGAGACTCAGCAGGGATTTTTCCAATGTATACCTGAAGGGTCAGTGCAAAATAGGTTGTGGCCAGTGGTGTCCAGTGACAAGAAAAGAAGTAGTGTTCACAAACTGGAACACAGGGAGTCCCAGCTAACTACCAAAAAGCATTTCTTCACTGTTCAGTTGACCAAACACTGATACTGGTTTCTCAGAGAGGCTGCAGAGTCTCCCCTTGGAAGGTGCTCAAAAGCAAACTGGACTTGGGCCCTGCTCTGAGTGTCCCTGCTTTAGAAGGGACCTCCAAGATGACCTCCAGATGTCCCTTCTGGTCCCAACCACTCTATGCAATTTAGTAATTTCTCCCACTCAGTGCAATAAAGCAGGACAGGGAAACAGGTAAAGTTAATCCAAGTCAGAAAATAACACTGTACAAAAGCATGTGATACACCTAAGTGTCAGAAAAACAAATGCATTATCCAATTTTGAAAAAAAATAAGAACATTTTAAGTTATTCTGTACCTGGCAATGACTGATAGACTCCCTTCATTTCCACTTTTAAGAACACCACTCTGCTGAGATGTCACCAACAAAGCAGGGTTAACTTCCAACACAGCAATGATGTCTTCAAACATTGAAGTGATCAAGCATAAAACCTGCAATAATTACACTATAAAATAGCACACCATGTATTTCACAGTTTAAGCTCTAACACAAAGGTATTTATAACAGAGAATGAAACTGTTTTTTAATTATGAAAATTACTCAGAGATATCCATAGATTTGGTCTCACAGCATTAAGCAGTAAAAAGTGCTTAATGGTGTCCTTCAAAATATGCTTATGGTGCTTGTATGTAATATTATATGTATATATTTCATTTCCTAAAAAAGCTCTTTTGCTGATTTTCCACAGAAATTTTCTCACAACTCGGTTTTTGCAGATTTCTTGGAAAGATTCAGAAGTTCATCCCAGCATCTGTTTGAGGAAAAGGTGTAACAACGTTTTTACCTTTTTTTCCTCTAAGGCAGTGCCTCTGCCCCCTCAGTGGTCATTCTTGACATTCAAGGTACACACCAAACACCATAAAAAACAATTCACCTTTTGCTTTCTAGTCACTTCAGATAGTATTTAAATTTTGAGAACTATTAAAACTAGAAAACTCCTTAAAGAATCATCTCCAGCGAAATAACTCTGCAATTCACATTTTGAATAAATAAAATAGTGTACATGTACATGATTTGTATACAAAATGCAGAATTAACGTTTATAAAAATAACTGGAAATGTAAACATTCGTTAAATAAATGCTAAATATATACTCACCTTTCCATTAACTGCTTTCTTCATTAATGAACACCATCTAGCAAATCGAATACTGAGGCCACTGTAATCTTTACCAAAAAGAACACAGTGGTAAGAGATGTATTTACATTTAAAAGGGAAAAAAATTTACTCATGCTGTTTTGACATAATCATAACCCACGATTTTCAGTATATATCCTTCTAGCTTACAGCCACATCATGAAGTATGAGTAGAATAACATGCCTTGTAATTAGCTTGCTAAATTGAATAAGAATTCATTAGTAACCACTACAAAAATCTAGTACTGACACGTTCTGAAACAAGTCATCAGTGATAGAAAAGCACAGTAAAATTAATTGCTAAATTAAAATATTAAAAAACATTTTTGCTGTATTAACCAATTCTTTTACTATTTATATCAGCCAACAAAGAAAATGTTAGATTGTAGCAAGACATTTTCTAATGATACCTTTGTAACATAAAAACGCTTCCAGTTCCAAGTTTGCTAAATTTATTAATGATAAGCCAGTAGAGGTTCCTTTCCAAAAATAGCTTCTATTCTGGGCACAGCACCTATTAGGAAAAAAAAACAAAAAAAACAAAAAAACCAAACATACCTGAGTATGATAAAGAAGCTTTTTTTTTGTTTTTTCTTTCAATATATAAGACACAGTAATACTAGCTAACTTGATTCCAATATGACAAAAATAATAAGCCATCCCATAGAAGATTTTAAATGCATTTTTAAAATCTGCAGTTCAAAGGAAAAAGTTTCAATTAAAATTGATGCTGTGAAAATAACCTAAGAACCTGGTGATATTGTAAGGAACTTACATATTTTCTTCATTGTGGAAACATACTGAATAGTCACAGTGTTCAATTAGGAGAACAGGCAATGATGCTTCCACTGACCCCTCTGGTTTCATGCTGTTTGTTTTGCAAAGCTCAGAAGCATTTTGCCTTTCACCTAAAAAAAAACAATCAACAATATCATCAGTCAACAAAACAATGAAATAAGGCAAACAGAAGGGATTTAAGAGAGAATTAGAAGTAATGCAGTAAAATAGCATGAAATAAGACCACACTATCTTTCAGTTTCAAAAGATGGAGATGTCTTGAGCCAGAGAATCACCTTGCTGAGGTGCAATCGTTATTCATTTATAAGTACTCAGTGTCATAAAAATACCACTGTCAGTTAAATAATATATCATGGGGGCTCTGGTATAAACATAAAACAACATAGCACAGCAAAACATATAGCATAAAATAACATAACGCAGTGTAAAATAGAAGATTCTTAGAAGCTTCAAAGGTAACCGAGAAATGGTACTCCACTTAGACAATGGATTATCTTTTTCAGGAATTGATTTTATTCTCACATGTATCATGCTATGATTTACAAGCAGATACATTATCCAAGATGTTATTAGAGACATATATGCGTAATTCCTCCCTGAATGCCAATCCCCACCTTCATATCAACTTCAGTCAAAGATTTCACGTGACTGAGATTCAAAACTCCATCACTTACACTTACCTTTCATGGCATAAAAGGCACACACACTCAGTAGTCAATAACAATTGAAATATAGCAAAACCAGCATACTAGAAGCACTATGCTACCTAATTCTTCTTCAGATTTCCAGATTTCATTATAGAATTTCTCTTGCTCTTTCTTTAAGTCAGTATGTGCCACACAACGGTAACTGATCACTGCTTAAACTGAAAATCCAAAGCCGAAAGAAAACAAAAGAAAAGCAACTGCAATGAAATTATACAAATATGAGCTAGAGGTTCAATACTGAACTCTGCTTATGTAAGTAATGAATTTTTACTCATCTTACCTGGGACCAGAAATTAAATTACATCTATCTATATCCCAAACTTTTCAAAGGTTTTATTATTTTATTATTTCATTATTAGCAGAAGAAGCCATTATCAATTTGAACAGCATGTCTAATTCCCATATGTTTATGTTTTTTAAAAACAACTCCTCACAGACTATTACCTACAATTAAAAATCCTAGGCTATCTGTGTGCAATTGCTTAATGGGCCACATAAGTTAATCTCATTGATACCTTTGTCTTTTTAGGCATCACCGTATTTACATATTTAACTTTCTTCATGACCCATCACACAGAATCACAGAATCACAGAATCACCCGGGTTGGAAGGGACCTCAAGGATCATGTAGTTCCAACCCCCCTGCCCAGCAGGGCCACCAAACACACACATTCAGATCAGGTTGCCCAGGACCCCGTCCAACCTGGCCTTGAACACGTCCAAGGACGGGGCATCCACAACCTCCCTGGGCAGCCCGTTCCAGGGCCTAACCACTCTCCTTGTGAAGAACTTCCCCCTAACATCCAACCTAAATCTTCCCTCCTTCAACTTGGATCCATTTCCCCTAGTCCTGCTGTTGTCAGCCCTTTGGAAGAGTTTACTCCCCTCCTGGGTGTAGGTTCCCTTCAGGTATTGATAGGCTGCAATGAGGTCACCCCGCAGCCTTCTCTTCTCCAGGCTGAACAAGCCCAACTCCCTCAGCCTGTCCTCATAGGGGAGGTGCTCCAGCCCCCTGATCATCTTAGTCGCCCTCCTCTGGACCCTTTCCAAAATCTCAATGTCTTTCTTGTACTGAGGGCTCCACACCTGGACACAGTACTCCAGGTGGGGCCTCACAAGAGCCGAGTAGAGAGGGACAATCACCTCCCTCTCCCTGCTGACCACCCCTCTCCTGATGGAGCTCAGGATCCCATTTGCCTTTTGAGCTGCCAGAGCGCACTGCTGGCTCATGTTCAGTCTCTCGTCCATCAGGACCCCCAGGTCTTTCTCTGCCGAGCTGCTCTCCAGGCCCACTCCTCCCAGCCTGTACGGGTGCCTGGGGTTCTTCCGGCCCAAATGCAAAACCTTGCACTTTGCCGTGTTGAACCTCATTAGGTTCACCCGAGCCCAGCCCTCCAGCCTGTCGAGGTCCCTCTGAATGGCATCCCTTCCTTCCACCGTATCAACCGCACCACTCAGCTTGGTGTCGTCAGCAAACTTGCTGAGGGTGCACTCAATTCCCTCATCGATGTCATTAATAAAGATGTTAACGAGCACCGGTCCCAAGACAGACCCTTGGGGGACACCACTTGTTACCGGCCTCCACCTGGACACAGAGCCATTGACCACCACCCTCTGTCTGCGGCCTTTCAACCAATTGCTTATCCATCGGACACTTACACTGAAGGAAGAGAGCTTCAACATGCCACAGAAAAAAAATCAGATTAATTTATTCCTAGCATTAAATTAAAGAAGAACTCAAGTGCTTCAAGTACATTTATTACATTTTTCTTAGAATTCCACCACATTAAAATCATGGTCTCTCCAATTTATGGTTATTCGTTTTTTTCTTGGCCAAAAAATGAGAATTCTGCTTTTCTTTTTTTCTTTTAAAACAGATACATATAGCATCTCAGTGTGCATATACTTACTGATTGCAGTTCTAAAAACTTTCATGGTTTTGAGGAAAAAGTTTGCATTTTGTAATAAAGGTGTTATATTGTTATGTTTGCTAAAATAAAATGTTGCAGCATTTTAAAACTAGCATGCAAATTGTGATGCTTCTTGATAAATTAATGATAGTTGACTATTTTGTCACAGAGAGATTATTTTTTGTCTACTACCTGTCCTTCAGCACATCCAGTGATGATCTGTCTCTTTTCTTCGTCAACTAGTAGACTTAGCAAAGGAAATGCTGTTCCAAAAAAGTTGCAATCAGTTCCAGAATACACATGAATCAGAAATTTTATTCAAAATTGCTAGCTCCTATTTATAAAGAAAGGTAAAAACAAAACAAAACAACAACAACAAAACCCTAAGGCAAAGGGTCTTCGCTTTTTTTTGTTGCAGTGGGTTTTCCATTTCTAGATCGGTAGCCTGCCTTCCTAAAATGGTATGGCTGTGATTTTCAGTAACCTTCTATCTACACTGCAGAGGCCGTGGTTTGCTGCACCCTTTCACCCAGGCTTAAGCAGCAATATTTTTCAGAGCCCCATTGTCAGATCACCTACTGTTATTCTCATGGCCTTGCTACCACAAACCAGTTCAATCAAAGCAACTGCCACAGGCTCAGAGAGGAGTCATTCCTTCTTCCTCTTCTTTCCTACCATAGGTTTGAGCTCTCCCTTTGCTTTGAGGCATCTACTAAAAGATAAGCACAAAGCTTAACAACCATTTCCCACATAGTTCCTTCCCCCAGTCGAAGTGTGCTCCAACTTGCTCTAATTGCACCATAAGCAAGAACAACCAGCACAGAATTGGAGCATGTTCTGGTGAAAACCATATGGTTACTCTCAGGAAAAGTTCTACTGGAGAGGAGCGTCCTTGCTGCACAGATGCTTGTCCTCCTCTCCTTTTGTTCTCATCTTTCTATAAAACGCAGCTTTTGATTTTAAAGTCAATGTATGCCTTCAACAACAAGCCCTGCTAGTAAACCTACACATGGTACACTTATAGTATTTCTTTTCATTTCCTACAAAAAATTAAAAAAAAAAAAAAAAAAAAGCACATAGACAATAGAACTATTTGCACATCTCAGTAAATGCCAACAGTTAAACGCATATTCTGTTCAAGAACTGTTTATAAAAATACACTGAAACTACCTACCCACTTTAAGGAAAATATATGAGCTAGCATATAGTTTACTAGAAATATTTTTACTAGATCAACTAAACACCTACATACTGATTTTATTTTATTGTTCAGATCGATACATTTTGCTGTGCAGAAGTATATAAAAAAGGAAAATTTACCTGTTAATATCCCTGACTGATACATTAACAGTCTAGTAGAATAGTCCCATACCTATAGGGAAAAACAAAATAAGATAGGCACCTACTTAGATCTTTAAGGAAAAAACAAACTTTTAAAGGCCATCAAGTGGTGAAAACGAGGAAATGCAGCCACTGAAAGCGATGCAATATAGTAAGGTTCTTTTCCACAGGGTTTGTTCATTTGTTTGCCTCTTTATTGTGTCGGGCTCTGTTTAATCAATAAGTGCCAGAGTTTATTTGCCAGATAATAAAAATCACCAAAGTTAACACTTCACTATACTGTTTTGACTATGAAAAACCTTCATTGTCATTAGAAATAGATAAATAAATAAAAATAATTAATTTTTATGATAACTTTGCAAGCAATTCTTAAAAACAATATCTTGGTCTCTATAATATCAAAGATGACTTTTGCTTAGCTTTCAGCAAATGTTTTTAGGAAAAAAAAGACAACATTAATTCAAAAATTCATTAATTCTATTATTTTTTTTTAAATGCAGCTCAAGAATTTCCTTGCCTTGAAGCTTCTGTCTTCAGACACCGATATAACCATATTTTTCTGCCACGTGCAAAACTCAGCAGCAGTCACTGGAGCCAGGTGGCCATTCAATTTAACTAGTATAGCTTCATTCTACGAATAGGAAAGTCAAAATAAAAGCAAAACAGATTTCAAAACAAAACTGGCAATTAATTCAAGGTCTTAATAACTAAGAATTATTGCTAAAAATAACATCAGACAGGTTCAAATTATAAATTCAACAAGATTTTCTTAAGCCAAATATAGTCACGTATATCATTCTGCTGGCAGAAAACACCACATGTTGCATTTGCTTTTTCAAAGTGAGTGATAAAGGAGTAATTTTTCAGATGTTTTCATAACACTGGGATATCGTTTAACTTCAACACTTTACTCTGTCATCATTTTTATGACGTGTCATTGATAATGCTATTCAGCATTCATTTGTATTTGTTTTCTTCTAAACGAGAATATGAATGCATACAGTAGCACATCATGATTTTATTGAAAGCGATGAACTTCAAGAAACAACAGCACTGTGGCTACAAAGAATGGTATCTCACCTTTGCACTTAACATGTAGATTCGATTTCAAGCACATACTGCCACTTGTTGATCATCTGGACTAAATCTTACATGAAGAACCAACCTCAGAAGAGTTCCAATAATAATTCCTTGAGGTGTTAACCCTGCAGCAATTTTATTATTACTGAGATTTAGCAAAATCTAAAATTCTGATGCAGCAAGATTCTCACAAACATTGCATAGCAGCTATCTAACAAGACATTTATACCAGTATCTGTCAGGAAAATATACAGAGTAACCCATCATTTAATAATATATAACAATATGGATTGGAAGATCATCTAGTCCAATTAGACTAGGTTATTGGAAAGCAAAGTGCAGAACTATATACCAGGAAGATTTATCCATCTACCTCCTTACCTAGACCATATATGGTACTCTTTGCAACACTAATAATAAGCATGCATATCAAATCTCACTAATGTCAAGGATAGAATTTTTGTATCAGAATGGCATGTCTAGAGAACCTAGTAGTGCCTTGTTCATTTTGGAGACAGGAAATCCTGATTCAAACCCAGCAGAGCAGAGATTTGAAAAATATTTCTGAATATTTTTGATGAATATTTCAGCCACTCAACCACTAAGCAAGGGAGACTTTTCTTCTCCTGGTTTTAATTCTTCTCTGGGAAAAGGCTGAACAGGGGAGTACACCACTACAAATCATTGCATAGTAGGATGAGAAGAATCGCTCTGAGAACAGACATTTTTCATCCCTCTTATCACCACATCATTATGTTCATCTCAGTCGTTCTGCAGATCCACATTTTATGATGCTGCCTTCAACACTGTACAGATTTTGGACATCTTATCAAGTCTTAGGATTGCATAGGCTGCAAACTAACCAGAACACAGCCACAACAGCCTTTTTCTAGGTTTTACTCTAGACACTGAGGAGTCTTTCTATAACAGATTAATGTATCAAGGTTTATCAGCATGGAGAGATGAATCACATAAAGAACTCAACTTCCTGACATTTGATAAAAATAATGTGAAAAAAAATAGTCCAAGACTGTGCAGAGAGCAGTCTGGGCAGAGACAGTCTACACAGCATCTGCTGAAGAGCGTGTGGACAGAGACAGAAAGGTGAAGAAGGAAATCTAGCAGCAGTGAATCTGGCTTTCAAATGTCTTTATATTAAATGTACACAGACTGTCTACTGATCTTCCACTAAGTGACTCTAATTAATTTCCATGTTTGTTTCCCCTGAATTTTTAGTCCAATTTCATGCCCACTCCCTGAATCATTCCCTGAAACTATGTTACACTTGCATGGATTAAAGTGTAACAATAACATTCATTATAAAAGTATTTAAAACATTCTCATTTCTTTACGAGTGTTTTTTTGTGTGTTTTTTTTTTTTTTAATAATATGTAGCTTTGCACATTCACCATGGCAGAGTACGAAACACAATTTCTACACATTAAATGATAGGCAAATCAACATCATTTTTAACAATGATGGGCCACCTGACTCTTCCACAACATTGACACAAAAAGTGGGTCATAAAGCCTCTAAATCATAATGCTATAACAATATGTTTAGGACAGTGTCACTGGGGCACTAGTGAGCCATGACTTGCTCTCTTTCATTCTTCCTATACATTTCAGTCCATTTAAACTGCCAACAGCCGCCATTCAGCCCAGCCCAACCTCAGCTGCGGGTCAGCACCATGGCCAGCTCCCTGCCCTGCCAGCGCGGCAGCGCTCCGGTTATTCGGATGCGGTAAGGCGGTCGGGCTGCGCTACGGCTTGGCATCACCGGGGGAGGGCAACCAGGAAATAAAGCTTTTAGTATCTCGTATCTCTATCTCTAGTATCTCTAAATACTTTTAAAAATCGTTGAATCTGAGAGGTTAATGCGTTCTACTCAGAAATTACAGCTTATTATAAAAGTAGTAGTGGAAGAAGGTGTTGGAGGGTCGTTTGTTAAGGTGGTCATTGTTGAGAGACGGGTTCGGCACTGCTAGGCTTATAGGTGGCAGTGAGTGATTGCCTTCTATTGCAGATATATCTAATATATATGTTATGTAAATAATACTCTACCGTCTCGCAGTTTCGTTGTGCATTCATCAAGATTCCACACTATCACACGCTCATGGGAAGCTGAGCAGACTAGAAGTGGATTGATTTTACTTCCAAAAGACAGTGCAGAAATTGCATGCTGATGTCCTGACAAACATAATGGCTGACAAAAGTAGGTGGAAAAATAAGTCATTTCAAATTAAAATTACAAACAATGTAAAATTACACGGATAATGTTTGAAAAATTAACAAAATAACTGTTTCAAATTCATTTTCTTTCACTGTTCCAAAATCACTTAATAATTTACAATATAGCTGTACTGGGATGAAGTAAACTTTCCTTGTAGCAGCTTATATGGTGTTGTTCTGGTTTTTGTGTCTAATCCGGCCACACGTAGATAATGCAAAATATTCAACCAATGCTGAACAGTGCCAGTGGTGTCAAGGCTTTCTCATTTTGCCATTCTGATGTGCCAACTTCCAGCAAGTAGGCTGGGGGCAGGCAGGAAGCAGAGAGCTGATACAGCAGGGCAGCTGCCCCCAGCTGGCAAAAGGAGCTTCCCATACCACCTGATATAGAATCATATAATCATAGAATGTTTTGAATTGATATGGACCTTTAAGATCATCTAGTGCCAACCCCCCTGACACAGGCAGGGAAACCTCCCACTAGACCAGGTTGCTCAAAGCCCCATTCAGCCTGGCCTTGAATACTTCCAGGGAGGGGGCACCCACAACCTCACTGGGCAACCTGTTCCAGTACAGATTTTCTTCCTAACATCTAGTCTAAATCTAGCCTCTTCCAGTTTAAAACCATTTCCTCTTGTCCCACCGCTACATGCACTTCTAAGAAGTCTCTCCCCAGCTTTCCTGTAGGTCTCCTTTGGGTACTTGAAGGCTGCTATAAGTGCTATAAGGTCCTCCGGAGCCTTCTCTTCACTAGGCTCCCAGATCTGTCAGCCTGTCCTCATAACACATCATCTTCAGCAATGAAAGATGTTGAGGAGTTGATCAGAAGGTGACTGGGCACCACTGTGCTTGCAAGAAGCACTTACCTTTGCATCACTTTCTTCCCCTGTCCTTCTCTCATTATGCTGCCTCTATCTCAGCACACAAGCCTTTCTCACTGTTGCCCTATGGATCCTCTCGCTCATCCTGGGAGGCAGTGAGCCAGCGGCTGCATGCAACTCACCAGCCGCCAGACTCAGGCCACCAAAACCCCTTGAGTTATTCTCATCACAGCAACAAAGCTCACAATAAATGCACCTTCTACACATAGAAGTGAAACCTAATGCTTCATCACCATATTTTTTCTCCATGCCTTCCCTTTTGACGTTTTTCTACAGCGTACAGCGGGAGGTGTTGTTACCTGTGCAGCAGGGCTGCCAGCTGTATTCCAGACGCACAGCTCGTTGCGATTCAGCGGGAAGGCGCAGTGCTGGTGTCCGCACGCCACCTGGACGAGGCACTCCGGCAACCTGGACTTAAACAGACGTTTTTCGCGGACGACCACAGGGTCTTCTCTCCTTCCCCACGAACAGCTGTCGCCCTCGCTTTCCATCCTACAGCGGGGCACCGCCGGCGGCTCGGGGTGCGTCCCGACCTCCTAACTGCGCGGGGGATCGGGACGAAGCCGCCCAGCCGCCGAGCAACGGGCGGGGAGAGATCTCGTGGGAGGTCACTATGGCAACCGCGACGCTGCCGACGGGTCGCCGAGAGGGACAAGCGCCGCTGCGCGTTGTGCAGTCACACAAGAGCAGGTGGGCGGGGCGGGTTGCCAGAGCGACGGCCGCGCGCGCAGCCCAACTCTCGCGATAGCAGAGGGTTCAGTCTGCGGCTTGCGCGCAGCCCCGCCTGGCCCGCCTGCCGCGGTGCGCGGGAGAGGCGGGGAGGCGGCGGCGGCGGCCGCAAGGGCGGTGAGTGGCGGTTGCGGGGCGGGGCTGAGAGGCGGTGCCCGCTTGTCGCGCCGCTGTCCGGGCCGGGTTCGAGGGGAGCGGCGAAGCGAGAGGGGCGGTGCCGGGCCCGGAGGCTCTTCGGAATCGGCCTCCGCGCTGCCTCTGTGCGGCCGCTGCTGTCGGGGTGTGCCGGCTCGCCTTGGGGCGGGATCTCTCCGAGCCACCCTGCCCTGCCGCACGTCTACGGAGCCGCGGCCTCGCAGTCGCCGAAGCCCCGGGGCGGGACGGAGGTGAGCTGCGCAGCGAAAGGTAGAAGGCTATTTTTCTGTCGCTGTTCAGAGGGGTTTTTGTTGGTTTGGAAGGTTACGAGGGCGGGGCTGTTCTCTTGTATGCTGTCGTTGCAGAACTGGGGCCTTGAGGCCCATGCGACCGTAAGCTGGGAGCTTCCTCCGTCTGTCATCTGTAAAACCCGTTTCAGCGTCCCGTTTCAGCGGGAGTCATGCGGTTTGTTTTGATGCTAGCAGGTTACGAACAGTTTAGCAGTAGCTGTCATGTTTAAGGTAATTGTACAGTCTTTGCGGAAGGCACGAAGGGATGGAAGCCATCTGAAGCTTTAAAGCACCCTTGACTGGCATTTAAATTCGGTCAGCTGCATTCTTTGGAAGTCTTCGGCAAGGTTTAGAGCTCGTGCGTTGTGTGCAGCTGTTGTGCTGAGGCCGCCTGGGCAGCAGCGTGCAACGAGGGAAAGGGTGCGGGAGCCTTGATTGTGTAACAGCCCCTTCCCTCTCTGCCCTGCCCCAGCAGCCTGAGCTGTCGTGTAGGTAAGTGCTGTAAAGAGCTGAGCGTTCATATAGTAACAAAAACTTGATGAAAGTACACACGCTTCTTCAGTGACAATATGCTGCTTTTGGGCAGAGAAATAATCTACACGTCATTTAGCGCATTGTGTTTTCTCAGTAAATAACCAGCTTTTATTGAAGTTGCTTGATTTGGTGTGAACAAAACCTGATTCCTTCCAGGAATTAAATATACTAACTCTAAATCGTTTTGTATTCGCAGAGTACTGGACTTGACAATAGGAAGAATCAGAATAAAACATAAGAGCCATGGCAGCACGCTGGAGGAGAATCCTGATAGTATTTGTGGCAGCTCGAGTACTATGTTTGGTAAACGCCTTTGAGGAAGAGGATGTACCTGAAGAATGGATTCTTCTTCATGTTGTTCAAGGCCAGATTGGAGCAGGAAACTACAGCTACTTGAGACTAAATCATGAGGGAAAGATAGTACTTCAGATGCAGAGTTTAAAAGGTGATGCGGATTTGTATGTATCCGATATGACTCTTCACCCCAGCTTTGACGAGTACGAGTTACAGTCTGTTACTTGTGGCCAAGACGTTGTCCATGTAGCAGCACACTTCCGCCGACCAGTGGGAATAGGGATTTATGGGCAGGAGAGTGAGTCACCAGGAGAGTGAGTTTGAAATGAAAGTCTACTATGATCGAACAGTCGTACAGCATCCATTTGGCGAGGCTTCCTACAATCCAGAGGAGATGGAGGCAACCCAGAAATACTCACACTCTACAGAAGATGAATCTCAGGATGAAGAGTCTGTTTTCTGGACTATACTT